TCAGCCATCTGCCAATCAGAACCAGTCAAAGCGCAGAGAGCTGCATCATTTAGAAACGGAAGAACTGCAGCAAAAACCCTGTTGGTAATCGTATTTATTCCTCCTCTTTGATTGGCTGAGCCAGTTCCGTTTCTGTATGATACAAGATACTCTTGATAAAAGCCAAATAGCTTATTACAGCATTATTAGAGGGACATTAAAATGACACTCTAGAGGGTTGGGCGCCTTTGAGATGGTCAAGTTAGTAAGAAAATTTGTAGTTTAGCGACTTAGCCTAATCTTCTGTATCATCAATGATACTTTCCCCCCTTAAACAGATTTCCTTCTGCTTAAGTTTGGGGGAAAAAGGAAAGAATAATTAGTATAAATTCTTCAGTCTTTTTAATTTAAAAACTAGCTTATGAGCAATACAGGGGTTCGGGGCAATTAAAATATTGGAAGCCTGCTTCCTTATGTGCAGCCATTCTTGCATCAGGGAAGATGCGCTATAATGCGAACGTGTCATTGTGCCTCTGTTTCTACAAGGCTAGTATTGTACTCTCAGAACTGCCTTTGTACTCTTGAGTCTTCCATGCTGCTGAATCTGATTATAATAAAGCAAACTCCTGTTGAGCGTAAATATCTCCACCGGAAATAATCTTCTCAACTGTACAAAATCCCGAGTGGAGCTGTTTTCTGCAAGCTGCCAAGGTGGACTCTCTTAGCTTCTGTGGTAGAGTGAATGAGACTGCAGTTTGCTTCTCATAATGCTCAGCATACTTCCATTTACATCTCCGTGTGCAATGCAGGGCAGCCGGCTGCCAGGAAATTTGAAACTATTCTGATTCCAGTTGACTAGAGCAGCAGCAATTGAATTAGCGTGTATCATTATAGATAAACTGATGATCTGTGCATATCCATTGACCAATGGGTAACTGCTGGAGCTACAGTAATCTCTGTGAGTAGGAAGACCGTTCAAATAAATATCTCTTGAGCTAACTAGCTAGTAGAGAGAGACACACATTGTTATAAGCTGTTCCTGTGAAAATGTCTTTATTTGTAATGTGTGAGCTTTTTTTTTTTTGCTTCCTAGCCGTTCCTTTATTATGCCATGACCAAGCGCCTGTGTGAGACTGAGATGTAATGGTTGATTCTTAACATATTCAATATCATATTTAGGGCAGTGCAGATTAAGTAATGGATTCTTTAAATCTCTAAGCATAAAAAAAAAAGTGGCAGCTACTTCCAGGCTGTATTTGCCCTATTCTCAGCTTTCCTTCCGTTTGCCTCTCTTGCCATTTCAGCTTAGAGCCTTTTCAATTTTAACTTTGCTTTATCCAAAGAAGCGCCCTTAAATGGAAAGTAGAAATTGGTGTTACCTGAAAGAGTGCATCCTTTCACTGTTTATTTTTCTGCTTATCTTCAGCGGCGCACCTGATTTTGCTGTTCCTTTTCTAGCCTTGTTGGTAATGCAGTCTTGTTGGGGGATGGGGGCTAGACAGGATATGCCGGGACTTGCTATAGCAAGACATGAGGTTGTTGCAGATGGGAACAGGGGAGGGGTTTCCCTTAAAGAACTCAGAGCTCCTTTTAAGCACTGCTACCTGAAAGCAGGCGTGTGCTCTGCTCCCATCTCTGTGTGCAAATCAGTCCTGTAAGTCCTACCGGAAAAGCTCATTGCTTGGAGTGCTTATTCCATGTGATTCCTTTAGCAGAATTTTTGATTGAAACTAGTCTGAGGTAATGAATTTGCTGTTTTTCCCTGGGACTCCAGTAAAGGGTTGGATTCGTAATTACAGTAGAACTCCTTTGCCACGCAGACAGTGTATTGAGATCTTGACATGAGCTTTAGACAGGAAAGGAGGGACGTGGTCGAAAGAAGAATAGGACCCTTAAGCGCTGCTGCAAGCTTGTGGTGTTCTGTAAGCTATAATAGGCCTGGCTGCTCTGGGCATGGGTTTGCGAGGGAATTAGATTACTCATGGAGATAATGAGAAACATGAAAACATCAGAAACTTTCCGAGTTGTTTACTGCTTTACCAAACAGCTGCCTTGTCGGATAGGGTGTGTGGGGCAGCTTACAGCTGTGTCCCAGAGTCACTGCTGGAAAGCTACACCCTGAACTCTTTGCCTTGGGTGGCTTCAGAAGCCAAGCCTTTAAGACTGACAAATCCCTTGCGAGGGTTTTCGGTGTAGCGCGTGGTCGCTGATTGTCCTTGTAGCGTACCTGCTACCCTCAGCGTTTAATCGGCTGGCTCGGGAAACTCAGGTAGGCAAACCTGAATGCCTGGCGGAAGCAGTCTGTCTGCTTCTAGAAATGCAGCTCCCATTGCCTGGGAATCCCCCTGCCCTGCCTCTTCTTCCCAGGCCCCACCCATGGGAGCCAAGCCACTGCCCCCTGGCACCATGGGGAGGTGGGGCAGCATGGGGAGGGAGCCCTGCAGCACGGGGAGGGAGGAGGGTGTGTGACCCCAGCCTCCCTGGTACCGGAGCACGGGGAGGATGGATGCTTGGGGGCAGCCACACTCCGCCCCCAGTATATGCCTACAGTAGGTGTTGTGGGGGCAGAGTGTGGGAGGGACCAGGCGCCTTGCTTATAAGTACAGTATGCCAACATGCTCCCGGCTCCCAGCCCCGCTCCTGGGGAGCCCCTGTCACCCTGCACTGCGGCGGGGGGCAGGAGGCTCTGCAGAGCTGGTGCTCGTGAGGAGGCGGCTTTTAAGATGACTCCCCCAGAGCACCAGCTCCCACCTGTCCCCCCTGCGCCCCCGCGATGCTGTCTCTGTGGAAGGCGGGGGAGGGGGAGCATGTGGTACCATGGAACTGGCATTTGCTTTAAGCTGCCTCCCTCCCTTGCTGCCTCTGAAACAGAGGCAGCGGAGGAGGGGTTACGTGTAGTCATTTTGATTAATCGTTTAAATGGCTATATGCTAACATCCCAAATCCATGGGCCATATTTGCGGATGGTGGATAAGAGGCTGGATATACCTTTTGTGTCCGCCCAGGACTTTGCTTATAAGCAGTTCTCCATTTAAAATAATCGGCCTATCTGTGTGCTTAGGTAGTATTTATGAACTGTTACAGCTTAGAAACTGTTCAGCCACTGCTCAATGGGGAGTCCAACCTTCATTCATTCCCCTATGAATTTGAGAACCTTTGCTGAAGCACAAGTAGGTTGAAAAGCTCACTCAGCTTCTGCCCATTCCACGGTTAATCGTTCCATTTTATCTTTCTTTGGAGACGGGGTCACAAACTGCACTGGTACAGTGCACTGCCAAGGACGTGGTAAGTCTCTGAAAGAGATGGGTGCTGCTAATAACTTTGCTATCATTTTTATCTCCGAGATCAAGTAAACAGACTCTAACTTGTCATAGCTCTAGGAGAGCCTTTGACTTCCTCGCTTTGGGGCGATGTCGCAATTAGATCGGGACTGTGAAATAGGATCGAAAGCTGTAGGCCTACGTCCAATTCCAGCAACATTCCCTAGGCACAGCTTGAGGCAAGGTATGAGGCAAGGAGATGTTTTGATTTTGATCTCAGCCCATCTCAGTGTTGTAATGATAGTCTTCAAGACAGCAGGGATCTAAAACATCTCTTCTTCAAGTATCTAACAGGGTGTCACAAGGAGGAGGGAGAAAAATTGTTCTCCTTGGCTTCTGAGGGTGAGACAAGAAGCAATGGGCTTAAACTGCAGCAAGGGAGGTTTAGGTTGGACATTAGGAAAAACTTCCTACCTGTCAGGGTGGTTAAACACTGGAATAAATTGCCCAGGGAGGTTGTGGAATCTCCATCTCTGGAGATATTTAAGAGCAAGTTAGACAGACATCATTCACGGATTATCTAGATGGTGCTTGGTCCTGCCATGAGGGCAGGGGACTGAATTCAATGACCTCTAGAGGTTCTGTTCTATTCTATTCTGTTCTGAATGACTAAATAACTCTTTCCCAAAGTGCTCACCCTTGACATAGGCACCTCCTGGAAGTGGCCAGAGATTCGTACGTGTAGCACCCACCAGCTCCTATGGGGAACAGTTGAAGTAGTGTTGTCTGAGAACAATGGGAGCAGCTGGGTGCTTAGCTCTTTTGAAAAATCTGGCTGTCCGTTTTTTCAATTGCTTTATTTTCATCAGCTTGGAAAACAAAACCAGAACCTTCCCCCCCCCCCCCCTGGAAGTGGCCAGAGATTCGTACGTGTAGCACCCACCAGCTCCTATGGGGAACAGTTGAAGTAGTGTTGTCTGAGAACAATGGGAGCAGCTGGGTGCTTAGCTCTTTTGAAAAATCTGGCTGTCCGTTTTTTCAATTGCTTTATTTTCATCAGCTTGGAAAACAAAACCAGAACCTTCCCCCCCCCCCCCCCCCCCCCCCCCCCCCCCACCTGCATCTAATCTTTTATCAGAAAGTTGTGAAGTGTAATGATAAATGTCCGTGTGCCACTGTAGTTCAGCCTTCAGTTATGGAGGTTCCAATGAGACGAGGGTGGAGTGTTAGCATCCTGTCATTATTTATGAATTACTTGATCACTGGAATCTTTCCAGCTTTTCCAATTTTGCTTGTCTGTTTTGCCCTGTGTTAACACGTGGGATCTCACCAGTTGCTTTCCATGCCATTGCTCTTTAGAAGAGCTAAAACGAGACCGTGACAGTACCATGAATGTATAAAACCACAGTGCAATGCACAGATGGATGTTACACTCTGGATACCTGCTGTCTTCAGCTCTCTCACCTGGCATGTGTCCCACGCTATTCATGGGCCATCCCTGTGAAGCCCAGCAAACATTTTTTGGCATTCTTAATTGGGTAAAAAGGTGCTTCCCCAAAACTCAAATGGAAAAAGCCCAATTGTGAATAACTACAGCGCAGTAGCATTCCAAAAGAGCTAGGTACCATAGCATTTCCCTGCGGTGGGCTTTCCATAGCAATGCTGCCAATCTGTTAGCAGATAACTGGGAATGGAGCCAATGCTCTTAACAAGCAGACAGATGAACCCTATAGACAAATACACTCTCTTTCTTTTCTATAGGTGGACATGGAGGCAGCATTCTTCTCCCACAGAATGTCACCAATGAATTTCCAGAGTATGGCACGATGGAACCAGAGGAAGAAGGGTTGAGGGCTTCCTCCGAGCGTCTAGCAGAGGCTGTAACAGGCAGTCCGGAGAGGAGAGAAGATGACCGACTGCCCACTCTTTTTGCAAGTGGCACGTATGCAGATGAGCACAACTCTCGCGCTGAGGCCCCATCGAAAGAAGAAACTTCGCCATGTGCTGATGGACAGACTGGGATTATGAACATTTCTCCGGAGCGAGAAGCTGCGAAAGCACACAAGGGAGCGAACGCTTCTCTTTGTTCAGCGCTGCAGATGGAAAAAGAAAGGAGTATTGGCAGTCAAGGCGTGCAGGCAGCCAGAGAATTGGTTCCAGCAGGCCAAGAAAAACCCTCAGACATGCCTCCTCCATCTGAAGTAAGAGCAGAGGAGAAACTGTATTTGATTGTAGAAAAAGATCTGGCGGCAACAGTAACTGGAGAAATGCCGTCAGAGTCCTCGAGAGCCATCAATAATAAAACTGAGGAGGTCCTCAAGGTGATGGAGACAAGCTGTCACAGACCATCTGTACCAGCCTGGGAGGCAGACAGTGAAGTTGGGGGTGTGAGCCATATTCTGGGGGAGGGCTGGTCGGATTTTGAGAAGGAATTTTCAGCGTACAGTCCTAGAAAAATCCAAGTGGATCCTGGGAGGAGGCTCTCGAAGGAGGCAGCTGTGAGGAAACATGTAGAATTTCAAGGGGTGGAGATTTTATGGCTGCAGAAGGCAGAGGAGCAGAAAGGAGCAAAGCGTTCAGTGTCGGAGGCCAACGCACACGTACAAAGGACTGTGCCTGGAGACATGAAGTTCTCCAAAGCGTCAAGCCACTCCCTTTCAGCCCCGATGTCCCCGGGGTTGGTCACTTTGTCGGAGAGCGTTTGGAACGAAGCCCAGGCAGATTTCAAAGCAGGAGTTGGCTCGGAGTCCTTTTCTCCAGCGTTGCTAGCTGTAGGTGGGGAGGATGAAGTCTTTGTGAGGGAGGAAATGGCTGAAGAGAAGAACCATGTGCTAGAGACAGACAGCGAAAGGTAAGAATGTTCTTTGGGGCCGGGAATGAATTCCCAAGCACACTGCGCGAGCTGACTAATGGTGGTATTTGCCTCCTATTTAGACCGTTCTGGCGATGACTGTCGTGTGTGCACGGTTTACATGGAGTTGAGGGTTACGCTGCGGCAGGACTTAACACCTTCTTTTCGTGTTTGAATGTAGTGTCCAGATTTGGTTCAGTAACTCTGGAGAGGAATTCTGTGGTTTGTTCTTTGCACTGCTCAGACCACATGAAGAAGCCCACACGGGCACCGTGTTGGCACCAATAGCCAATGCCAAGCCACAGATATATTGCTGCTCTGGCTGCTTTCTAGCAGAGTTTTAATCACAGAACGCAGTGAGTGCTGGGAGAAGGATCACAAATTATTTAAAGGGTTACCACCCTATTTCTTTCCTCTACAGCAGAACAGTGGCATTTTTTTGTACATTTGAACCTTTTTAATCCAGGTGTCTGGGATCTGGGAACACCTGTGGTTTGGACCCCCACTTGGCCTTCCTAGACCCGCACCCCAACCTCCAGCATGCACTGCACCCTCTTCCCAGACCCTGCACCCCCCACCTCCATCCTGCTCCCTCCCTCTCTGCCTCCCTCCCAGACCTGCACCCCCACTCCCAGCATGCCTTGCACCATTCCTCCCAGAGCCTGCACCCCTCCATCCCGCTCCTGCTCCCTCCCTCCCACACCTGCACCCTGACCCTCAGTAACAGTTTAAATATAGTGCATTAAAGATTTATCTTATGAGATGTTATATATGCACAGTACTCTGTAATCGACTTTGTTTACCCTTCATTATGGCGAACACCCATAGTCTGGAAAATTCCATAATCCATCAATAAGCCTATTTCCCAAGATTGCCGGATTAAAGAGGTTCAGGTGTATTACATATAAAAATAGTTGCAAATTCTTGCTCCTTATTAAAATTGGATCCTGCTTTCTTCATATTTGTTTGACGAATGACAATAGGTCCTCCCCACAAACATGCACACACAGGCTGATCTTCGATCAGATACAGGTTCACATCAAAACACATAGGGAGTCCGTCCTTTGATTATACAGGGTCCTCTGAGTTTTGTCAAGATTACCCAATGGAATGGCGCTGCAGTGTGGCTTATTCTTGTGGTGATATCACAAATCTTCTGGGATTTGCTGGATTTCTTAAAGCCCCAACTCCTGGAGCCATGTGAACATGTGAGAATTTCAGCTGTCATTTTAAAATCAAAATATTTCCAGGGCCTGGAGTGTCAGATCAGTCATCAGTAACACAAGTTACATATTCTTTAACTCCAGTTTGAATTTGATCCATTCACAAGGAAGAATTTTTAATTCCTGCCCCAGCTTACGCCTGGAAGCCAAATTGGGTTCTTTCCGCTTCTCTCATCTTCACCAGTAACGCAATCAAGAATTCTGTTAGAATTCCCCTGCTTCATTTGCAATTTCGGTCGCCCTCATTGGTTTCACTAGATCGAACTAGGGGGCTAGTGTAGACATACCCTTAGTGTATGTGGCCAAACAGAATACAACTTGCTTTCCTTCCCTGATATTGGTGCTTGCGCCATTAAGAGTAAAAACAGGTTTGAAGCCATAAAATTCCTGGATTTGGCTAGAAACAGAGAAAGCAGAAGTATTTGATTGTGGTGATTTTGTTACAGAGCCACTTTTCTGACCACAACTGGACGTTAAAGCAAGATCAATATTTATTATTGTCAGGCTGGACAGGCTAGAGATGCCAGTGAACAGCTTTATTACCTATCATCTAAGTCATTAGCTAGGAGGGTGTGCTGTCGTGAGGTAGAGTAGCAAAATAGGGTTAAACGGTGTGAATAAGCCACTCCCCAAGCAATGTAATGTACACCCACCTAAGTGCCGGTGTGGACAGTGTCAAGTCAGCCTGGGAGCTTCTCCCATGACATAGCTACCCCCTCTAGTGGAGGAGCTATGCTAGGGGACAGCTCTTTCTGATTGGCATCAAGTTTCTTCCCCAAATGTGCTACAGTGGCACAGCTAACATAACGCTTTTGGAGGAGAGGAGCCCTAACGTGTCCCGACTAGGAATGTAATAGTGCAGTCGATTAACCGATAAGCAAAAACTTACAGGTTAATGCTGTAGACTACACACATCCCCCCCCCCCCCCGCCCCCCCCCCTGCCATTACATTTTTTAGCAGGATGGCCAGCACCCTGGCTCAGTCCTGGCTTGCGATGGGTCCGGGACCTACCCCTGCTGCGGCTCTGCATGTAAAGTGTATTAGGAGCTGGGTGGGCAGACAGCCAGGCTCAGTTCTGGCTTGTACTGGGTCCGGGAGCTCAGACCAACCCCTAGACAGGGGCTGCTGCCACCCTGCACTGCTGCCTCTTTAGCAGAGGCAGCTGCCGGTTCACAAGGGGAGCTGGGGTTTAAACTGGCTGCTCTCGTGCTGGCACTCTGCGCTGTTTTCTCTGATACAGAGGCAGCAGCATGGCGTGGTAGGGGTCTTCTCGGGACTACGGCCGGAGCAGTGGCTGCCAGTCCCTGTCTCCAGGGACGATGGAATAGTTGACTAACCAATAAGAATTCACGAGGTTACTCAACTGTTCAATTCGCTGATATTTAACACCTCTCGTCCCGTCATCTTGTGGCAAGTCACTTAAGGGACGCTGGCTAGGTTCAGAATGTCTGTGTATTCTTACTGTGTTGCAGTTGAAACAGTTATAGAAAAACCCAGGTGGCGGTTCACCAAGCTTCGAGTAGATCATTGAACTTTTGGCAACATCCTACGAGAGCCAGGTCATGAGGAGTTTATACGGCACTTGCCTGGGGCTCTCGGGGTGTTACCCTTCTATAAATGATAGGCTAGAAGCTGACTTGCAGCAGGAGTGAACTTGACACTTTCAAGTCACTTCCACTTCCGTTTAAAGGCGGGTTGCTTTCCAGAGGGCTGAAATACAACTTACAGTGATGGAGCTGCAGCTGTCCCCGGAGAATATCTAAAACCAAACCTCTAGATAATGCCACCTTTTAAAGGAGAGAAAAAAATGGAGTCTTGTTTATTATTTAGAGGTGTGTGTGTGCGTGTGCGTGCTCGTATTTAAAGTACTGTTCTGTGTTTGGACAGAGAGCCCCAGGTCCTGTTGCTGTAAAATGGGAAGCACAGGACTTTCTTGACTGCCCTATGGAGTTGTGACGATGTGATTGAGATCTGCGGGGGCAGGCATTGGGCGTAGGGACTTGGGGCGCTGCTGTGGTGTTAATCAGTTGTTGAGCTGGCTGCTGGCGGTAGCTGAAGGGGACTGAGGCGGTGGCTGGGGTGTTGGTGGAGTACAGGCCCATCCCTGTGGTGGCCAGCAGCACAGCCTTCGTCCCCCACCTGCTCTGCCCCTGCTGGCAGAATTGGTGGCTCAGCCCGGGGACACCCCCCGGCTTTGAAGCAGAAAGTGCTGTGGCCATGATGGCGCTGGAGCAGAAGGGTCTGTCCCTGGGTCCTTTCCGGGGGAGGTGTGGGGGGGGTCTCTGCTTTTCTCGGAGGGCAGATGGGCCCCAAGAGTTATGTAGCTGCTCCTCGTCCTGCACCTTTCTTCAGCTCCCCCTCCCTCAGGATCCTGGCCCCCCTCAGCTGCTCCTCCCACACTTCTACCCCCTCCCCCCAGTGCCCTTCCCTCTCCCTGCCCTTGGAGACTCGCGCCCCTGTCCCATCCCACTGGCTCCCCCAGGCTCCAGCAGCCTCTGCCACTGGTGGTGGGGGGGTGTCCTGTGCTCCCCCTCCCACCCTGACTAACCTCTTCCTTGCCTGCCCCACCCCCACGGGTGGGTGAAGGGAGGAGGCAGACCAGGGGATGGGGCGGGTGAGCTAGTGCAGCAGAGGAGACTGACGGGGAGAGGTGGGGGGGCTCTAGCTGAAGTCCCCGGCTCCTGGAGTTCAGGACCTGGCTGCATGGGGCTGCAGGTCAGAGCCCCGCATGGGGCTAGTGCCGGCACCGTGAGCAGACCGTGGGTATGAAGCTGGGGGGAAGGGAGGGAGGGACGGGTGTCTCTCCCTGTATGGCCCCCCCCCGCCACCCCGCGACCCACTGGATCTCCCGTGCCTGTGCAGGCCGAGGGGTGGGTGGGGGGTAGCTGTGGTGCTGGGAGGGCCAGGGAAAGGCAGGGATGAGGGGGAGCCGGGATACGTGCGGAGCACGTGGGAACGTGCGGCGTGAGCCAGGCCGGGCCTGCACTCGTAGCAACAGAGCGGAGAGGTGCTGTGCTCTGACCAACTGCCGGCGCCTTGGCACCGGAGAGCTCCCCTTGGCGCTCCTCCCCGCCCTGGGCCAGGGCTCCTCCCTCTTTCCCCCGCTCGCCCAGCCCAGCTTACGCAGCCAGGAGCAAGTGTGAGAGGGGCACGTCGTAGGATGTGGTGTGTCCAGGGAGTAGCGGGGTTTTGGGGGCAGGATGATGGGAGCAATGGAGGCATTGCGGCGGGGAACAGGACTTCTTAGGGCTGGGGGGGGAGGACGGGAACCTTTTTTCTATCAGGGGGGGCCCTTTGACCCTGTCGGGCCATACAAATGCCTGAGGGGGGAGGGACGCGAAGGCTCAGGGCTTCCTGTAGGCTCTGGGGTGTGGCCGGAGATCAGGAGTTCAGGGTGTGGGATGGGGGTTGGGGTGCAGGAGCAGGCTCCCGGCTGGGGCAGTGGGTTGGGGCATAGGAGGAGGAGGCAAAGGCTTTGGGGCTTGGGATGAGGAGTTCGGGGTGCAGGTGGAGGAGGGCGGGAGCTGCATGCCGAAGGTTTAAGGGGTTAACTGATGAACGGGGATTTTACATCTCTAGTTGGTGTGTGGAAGGAAGTTTGGGGTGCAAGGCTTGGGACGCAATGAGAGCGTGGGAGGGGCTTCATTCCTGGGGCAGGGAAGTGCCCGTGCTCAGGGCTTGTGACCTGTGGCGTGGAGACTTGCCGTGGGCCAGATGGAACGAAACAGCCAGCTCTGGGCCTGCAGGCCATAGGTTCTTATGGGCCAATGGCCAAGAATTCAGTTCTACAGGGAACTGGGACGCTGCATTCAACCTGGCCAAAGATGAGCTGTATTGACACTGCTACATAATGGACAGCAATCAGTGCCAATACCTACTAAAATAGGTGGGGGATCCCCCCCCCCCGCACAGCCTGGCTGACTGAGCCAGAGCGCCTATAAGGAAACCAAGGAAATACTGTAAGTAGCTAATTCTTGCAGTGCCCCATTTACATGCACTCATCATTTCCCTTTATTAACCACAACAGAGCTCCCTTCCGCCACTCGCAACCCTCATCCGGAGCAGACAAAACCCAGCCTGAACCTGCAGCGCTGCCATTTCTGCGTGAAAGGGGCTGTCCGGTTTAGCACAGTCGCCAGCCTCGCATTCCGTAGACGGCGCAGAAAGTCCTCTCTCTCGCGGCCACTGTAGCTTTCACTCAGTGCCACATGCTGATGCGGTTTCTTCGTCACCATCCTTTCCCCCCCACTCTCCCTTTTCTACAGAACGTTGTTTCCTCCCTCCTCAGAACTGTAACGCAGCAGGGAGGGCGAATGTGGCAATTCTGTCCTGCAGCACGGCACTGGAACCGAAGGATTGGTCTGCGTCGTATTCGAATAACTAGGACTCTGGACCATTCCGTCGCTTTTTATGTGTGTGTCACTCCCTCACTGGGGGAAAGAAGCAGATTTTACTCAGCAGTTGTCATCAAACAAAAGGGAAACTGACTTTTTTTGGTTTCTTCCTAGGATCATGGAGGAGGAAGAAGCTGCCAAGGGAGGATATGAAGATGTCCTTGGACAAAGGCATGCAGAAGTCTCCATTGATGTGTATAGCTCACAGTTTGAAAACATTCTAGACAATGCGTCTTTATACTACAGTGCCGAATCGCTGGAAACTTTATGCTCAGAACCTGATAGCTTCTTTAGTTTTGAAATGCCACTCACGCCAATGATCCAGCAACGTATCAAGGAAGGCAGTCAGTTCTTGGAAAGAACTTCCGCTTCGGGACAGCAAGCCGGCTGTAAACTTCCCACAAACGGTGAGATCCGGGGTCACTGCGGAGAGACCCACAGCAGACTAAGGGATGCAAGTGATACCCTCTTCAGAACAGATGTCACAGAGCTTACTGAATTGGACAGGTAAAAGAAATGTATTTATATGTTTTTTTTATGGGCATTTGATTCTGCAGCATATTTCAGAGTTCAGTTTTGACTTGGTAATGCTGAATGTTTTTAAACAGTGTGTATAGCCGTGTCCCGTGAAACACATGCTC